GGACAGCTTTAAGCATACCAACATCCGAATGATAGGTGTGCCAGAAGAAGAGAGAGAGAAAGATATTGAAAACCTACTCGAAGAAATAATGACAGAAAACTTCCCCTACCTGGTGAAAGAAATAGACTTACAAGTTCAGGAAGCGCAGAGAACCTCAAACAAAAGGAATCCAGAGAGGACCACACCAAGACACATCATCATTAAAATGCCAAGATCAAAAGACAAAGGGAGAATCTTAAAAGCAGCAAGAGAAAGACAGTCAGTTACCTACAAGGGAGTACCCAAATGACTGTCAGCTGATTTCTCTACAGAAACTTTGCAGGCCAGAAGGGACTGGCAAGAAATATTCAAAGTGATGAATGCCAAGAACCTAAAACCAAGATTACTTTATCCGGCAAAGCTATCATTCAGAATTGAAGGTCAGATATAGAGCTTCACAGATAAGAAAAAGCTAAAGGAGTTCATCACCACTAAACCAGTATTATATAAAATGCTGAAAGGTATTCTTTAAGAAGAGGAAGAAGAAGAAAAAGGTAAAGAAACAAACTATGAACAACAAATACACATCTATCAACAAGTAAATCTAAAAATCAAGTGAATAAATAATCTGATGAACAGAAAAAAAAGAAGTTGTTAAGGGGAGTGACTGTGAAAGATGAGGCAATGACATTGTGAAGGCAAAATAATATTTCCTTCTTCTTTTCTAGGTTCTTTAGTTGGCCTAAAAATTAAACTGATACAATATAGGTTAACAGTGGAAAACCATAAAAAAGTTATTCACATGTATACCTGCTGTATATATGGAAATGACTCAGAAAAACAGAGTAACTGGCCAAAATGGCAAACACCATCATCTGAAAAGCCACCTTCACCTCCATTCAGAAAATATGGTGTGTGGACAGTCAGTTAGGGTGGACTGTCAGGAAAAGCAGAGTAAGAACCTCAGTTGTGGCCCAGTGTGCTGTGCACTGCGGTGAGGGCTTGTACTCAAAAGGACTCTGTTCCAAACCAAAGACCCAGGGTACAGACACAGGTGAATGGAGAGAAGGACATGAGACCAGAACATGATCCGGGCTGCAGGGAAAACACGGTGAGAGCCATTGTCTCATTCAGCCAGTAGGGAATACAGGAGAGAATAACATGTCAGGGGTCCTATCATGAATAGGACGTGAGCACCCATCCAATGAGCCCAGGATCATGTAGGACTCCAGCATCACTTCAAACATTAGGTCCCCAAATTCCTGTCCAATTGTACCCACTCCTGCAGGGTGAATGTCACTGCCATATAGGAGCATCATTTGAAGGGTCAAACTGAGGCAAGAATTTAATCACAGTGGATGGGATCACAGCATGACACCCAACACGTGGGGAAAGGTGCAGAGACAAAACACTACTTACCGAGGTCTCCTGTGGGTCAAACTCAGTGCTGGGATCAAAGGGAAGGTACACAAACAGCATCTCACTTTGAAAGAAGGTCCCCCTGGAGGAACCACTGCAGTTGAGAAATGATGGCGTTCCACTGAACACAGGGAAGCCAAGGGGAAGTGCTCTGAGATGTACAGGGGATGGGAGGAAAAGCATAACTGCAACCATGGAAACAGTACCTGCAGGTGAGCCACCCTGGTTCTCATACTGTACCTGCTCCAGTGAGGGCTGCACATCAGTGGTAGAGATTATGTCTGACGCTGGAGAAAATAATGGTTAAAATCCAGCCCCTTGATGCCCTGAACAGTTTGGGTCAGTGGCTAGAGCATCGGCCTCTGGACTAAAGAGTCCCAGGTTCGATTCCGGTCAAGGGCATGTACCTTGGTTGCGGGCACATCCCCAGTAGGGAGTGTGCAGGGGGCGGCTGATGGATGTTTCTCTCTCATGGGTGTTTCTAACTCTCTATCCCTCTCCCTTCCTCTCTGTAAAAAATCAATAAAATATATTTTAAAAAAAAATCCAGCCCCTTGAATCTGACACTTGTCTGGGGTGTAAACTTGGAGAGCTCACTTCATTTATCAGATACTGAATGTTTTCAGCAATTTGATAGGAGTTTCCACTTGTCCAGGTTGTTTGAGGATTAAGAGAAAATGCTTAAATATCTATCCATGGAATCCTGGCAACAAGTACTCAGCTTGTTACTTGATTGATCTGGGAAGGCCAGGGTAAGCGCCATCAATCATCTGCATGTCACATTCAACCACTGAGATTCAGGGAGTTGTACTGAGTCTCCTGGAGATGCCCAGGTGGGACCACACCACAATGAGACCTGAATGCCAACACCACCTGCCTCCCTGCAGCATAGTCAGTGGCTTCTTGTAGGTCCCATTTCTTACTAAAATTCACCCAAAGACAAAGGTGCTTGTGGGTTTCAGGGCATGAGAAGTGCCTGTCCTGGGAATGTCTCTTCAGGGAGAGGCTGGAGTTCAAAGGAGACGGGGAGAGAGAGAGAGAGAAAAAATCAATGCTGAGAAAGAATCACTGATCAACTGCTTCCTGCATGCCCCACACTACGGATCTAGCCAAGGCACAGGCATCGTCCCTGACTGTAAATGGAACTGTGACCTCCTGATTCCTAGGTCCACTTGGAACCAATGAGCCATGGCATCTGTGCTCTCAAAGTTCATGTTCCTAACTCTTTCTCCCTCTCCCTTGCTCTATGAAATCAATGAGAATGTTTTAAAAATCAATTAAAACATTATACTAAATATATCATTTATTCTAAATATTCTAAACAAAAAAAGCATTTAAGACTTCTGAGAAAATGCTCACCATAAATTCTTACAAAAAATACTATTAAATAAAACTGTATGAAAAAACAATTGTATGAGACTATCACGCAGAGGGCATAAGCACAGGGATTCAATATAGAGTTGAATGACAAAATTACAGAATATCTTTATACTAGAGGCCCAGTGAATGAAATTCATGCACTCAGGGGGGACCCATCAGCCCCAGCTGTGCCCACACTCTGGGAGCCTTCAGGGCTGTCCAACTAACAAAGGTAAATAACACTTATATCCATATAAAGAATTATACAGAAATGTTTGTACCAGCTTTATTAGAAATAACCAAATATTTATAAAAATGGACATTGTGGTGATATATTCAAAGAACAGAACATATACCAGAGCACTAGCCAGTTTGTCTCTGGATAGAGCATAGGCCTGCAGACCAAAGGGTCCCAGGTTTGATTCTGGTCAAAGGCACGTACCTTGGATGAAGACTCCTTCCCAGCTAGGGCCCTGGTCATGGCTCATGCAGGAGGCAACTGATCAATGTGTTTCTCTCACATCGATGTTTCTCACTGTCATTCCCACTCGCCCTAAAAATCAATGGACAAGTATTCTCAGGTGAGGATTAACAACATCAAAAAGAATATCTATCAAAAACAGAGATTAGTTACTAATATATCTTTAATAAATTTCCAATATTTTATGAAATATAAATTAAAGCAGAAAAATCCTAAGAAAAAGCCAAGTTTTCTAGTAAAATGGAATGTAAATACATGGTTACTAGGAAAGCTCTGAAGAACAGGGACAGACTAAATGAGGTCAAGAAGCAACTACACAGTTACAGATATGGTCAGTATTATGACTATAAGGATGGTTTCAGTTTCATGCACCTGTCAAGATTTATGAAACACTATACTTAACACATGTAGTTTACTCATTACAGCTGTCAAAAAATGGTTCCAGATAAAAGAAATGTACGTTCACCTATTTTGGAAAAACAGGTTTGTCAATTCTATATTCCATCTCTATCCTTATGTCCTCTGGACGAGAGTCTCATCTCAGTCACAGAAAATGTAACAAACAACGAAGAACTTTCACCCAAACCCACAAAAGCCACATCGCTGTACAAAAGACAACCTTTGTCTCCATCTTTGTTTTGCTGCCAGTGGCTCTGATGGGAACATCTGAGAAGCTACAGGAGCCACAAAACATCTTGATTATAATCAATGACAATGACTGCTCCACAGAAAAGAAACATGCCTGGAGTCCCTCAGATCAGTGTACACACAGCTCTTGAAGTCTTTTCCTCAAAATAATTCCTGTATACACAGTTAGATGAGGACCATTTCATCTAATGGGCTGAAGTCTGGTCCAACAATGCCAGTGGTTTTAATCCAGCTACTAGAAGGGTTCAGGAATCTGGAGAAGGCGCTGTGTGTAAATTCTGAAAGATTCCAGAGACAAAACATAATTTTGGAAGGCATTTGGGGGCCAGAGGAGCTTGGCTAAAGAAACCAAGTTCTCTCTTGTCTCAGGATCCCTTGCTTTTTATTAAATTGTCCTAAGGCAAAGCAGATATACATCAAAGGCCAGGGTTTCATATACAGAATCCATTGTCAGATTGGAGGAATTGCCCTCAGCTGTTCAGGTGTTTGGCCAACAGGAGGCAATAACATGTAGACTGAAATGGCCTCAGCTGTCTGGCACCAAGCAATCATTTTATGCATCCTTTTCAGGTTTGGGAAAATGCCCTCAGCCATTTCCAGGTGATTCAGCCCTGCTGACATTCTGGAATTGGCTTTCAACACAACAACAATTAGGTCAGTGTCTCTAGAGTGAAAGGATTTCCCATTACTGTTCTGGTCTTCAAACCAGTGACCATCAACCGTGAAATTGTAGGCATTAGGGCACGTGGCCCTCTGCAAGACCTGGGCAAGAGATTCCCTTCACATGTATTGGCATCCCTTGCAAACAAGAAAAAGAAATTCATGCTCCCAGACATAACTGAGGTGGTCACAGCTGCCCCCTCTATGGAGTGACCTCTGTGTCACTAAGCATCCATCTTAACATGAGGACCAGAGAGTCCACAGTGTTTCCTGGAAAATTATGGGTAGCAATGTAAATTTGGCAAAAACTGCTGAGCTAATTTCTGCACCATGGTCTTCTCTCAAGGCCAAAAATGTTTGAGACCGCATAAAAGTTTTGCACATCACCATGCTTGGAGAGCCCAGAATTTCTTATAAACTAACCCACACAATAAATAGCACACACAAGATTAAAGACGTTTCAGGAAAAAGCCTCATTATTTTGCAAAGAAACAAACCTGAGTCTGGCAGTTCTCCCATTGATGATTTCCATAGGCACTCAATAAACTCATCATTAGCATCTAGGGAAAGTGTGTCCCTGAAAATGGCAGTTCTGCAACATTATGTTTATGGGCACAACAGTAACGAGTCATATATGGCAACGCATGACAGAGAAAGAAGAAAGAACTAAGGGCTCAGGTATTCCTCATTTCTGTCAACAAATTAGACAACAGACTTAGCTTTCCTGGGCACATGAGGACGGTGATTGATGCCATCTGTAGAGACCTTATAGGTGGTTCAGGTGAAATACCTTTAGCAACAGAAATATGCAGTGACATAGATCTGGCAGGACATCTCTGTATGTTAGAACGTGCAACATAATTACATAGTGTTCTAATGTAAAAACACAGAAACAAAACAGCAAATACACTTATGGGAACTTTACAGAATACAGGTGATTAAATGTATGAGATACAATTCAGAAAAATGACGATTCACGAATTTTCTTGTACTATTGTTAAGTCCTAACTAAGAAACTGCATTTCCTACACATCTAAGAAATTTCTCACATTTGCAATCTTATGCGGAGAACGAATTTAGAAATTTGGCTGAGAGATACCTCATATTAATTGCACACAGAATGGATTTCCCCATTGTGAACTCTCTGATGATATTGGAGACCATTTCGGCCTCTATACGATTTCCCACATTCACTGCATATATAAGGCTTTTCTCCAGTATGAACTCTCTGATGATAACGAAGGTGAGTGCTCCGGATAAAAGATTTCCCACATTCACTGCATTGATAAGGCTTTTCTCCTGTATGAAGTCTCTGATGATGACAAAGGGCAGAGCTCTGGGTAAAAGATTTCCCACATTGAGTGCATTTATAAGGCTTTTCTCCTGTATGAAGTCTCTGATGATGACATAGGGCAGAGCTCTGGGTAAAAGATTTCCCACATTCAGTGCATTTATAAGGCTTTTCTCCTGTATGAACTCTCTGATGAAAACGAAGGTGAGTGCTCTGGGTAAAAGATTTCCCACATTCACCACATTTATAAGGCTTTTCTCCAGTGTGAATTCTCTGATGATAATGAAGGGCAACGCTAGTGGTAAAAGATTTCCCACATTCACTGCATTGATAAGGCTTTTCTCCAGTATGAACTCTCTGATGACGATAAAGGTCGCTCTTAGTTTTATAAGATTTCCCACATTCATTGCATTGATAAGGCTTTTCTCCCGTATGAACTCTCTGATGACGATGAAGGGCAGTGCTCTGGTTAAAAGATTTCCCACATTCACTGCATTGATAAGGCTTTTCTCCAGTATGAACTCTCTGATGACGATGAAGGACGGTCTTAGTGGTAAATGATTTCCCACATTCAGTGCATTTATAAGGCTTTTCTCCCGTATGAACTCTCTGATGACGATGAAGGGCAGTGCTCTGGTTAAAAGATTTCCCACATTCACTGCATTGATAAGGCTTTTCTCCCGTATGAACTGTCTGATGACGATTAAGGTCGCTCTTAGTGTTACAAGATTTCCCACATTCACTGCAATTATAAGGCTTTTCTCCCATATGAAATCTCTGATGAAAACAAAGGGCAGAGCTGTGGGTAAAATATTTCCCACACTCACAGCATTGATAAGGCTTTTCTCCTGTATGAAGTCTCTGATGATGACAAAGGGCAGAACTCTGGGTAAAAGATTTCCCACATTCACTGCATTGATAAGGCTTTTCTCCAGTATGAACTCTCTGATGACGATGAAGGTCGCTCTTAGTGTTACAAGATTTCCCACATTCACTGCATTGATAAGGCTTTTCTCCCGTATGAACTCTCTGATGACGATGAAGGGCAGTGCTCTGGGTAAAAGATTTCCCACATTCACTGCATTGATAAGGCTTTTCTCCAGTATGAATTCTCTGATGACGATGAAGGACGGTCTTAGTAGTAAAAGATTTTCCACATTCACTGCATTCATAAGGCTTTTCTCCAGTGTGAACTCTCTGATGTTGATGAAGGATCTTCTTAGAGGTAAAAGATTTCCCACATTCATTGCATTGATAAGGCTTTTCTCCCGTGTGAACTCTCCGATGACAACGAAGGGCACTGCTCTGTGCAAAAGATTTTCCACATTCACTGCATTTATAAGGCTTTTCTCCAGTGTGAACTCTCTGGTGTTGATGAAGGATCTTCTTAGAGGTAAAAGATTTCCGACATTCATTGCATTGATAAGGCTTTTCTCCCGTGTGAACTCTCCGATGACAACGAAGGGCACTGCTCCATGCAAAAGATTTTCCACATTCACTGCATTTATAAGGCTTTTCTCCAGTGTGAACTCTCTGATGTTGATGAAGGTTCTTCTTAGAGGTAAAAGATTTCCCATATTCACTGCATTTATAAGGCTTTTCTCCCATATGAACTCTCTGATGTTGATGAACGTCAGCATTAGCGATAAAAGACTTTCCACATTCACTCCATTGATAAGGCTTTTCTCCAGTGTGACCTCTCTGTTGATTATGAAAGCTAGAAAATTTGGAAAAATATTTTCCACATTCAGAGGACAGAAAACACCAACTTCCAAGATGGACATCTTTTTCCTGAATAAATGGGTGGGTGCAACTAATGTTTCCCTTACAATCTTTTTTACTGTAATAAATTTTTCTCCTTTTAAAAGGCATCCCATACGTCGAAATTGCATCTGGCCTATCGCTGGTCTGAGTAGCCTTTAGGTGGAGATGTCCTGACCCCGTAAGGACACCTTGACAAACCTCCCCGCATGTGAAACGATTCAGGGATACACTGAAATTGTAGCTGTTTGCAAGTGAGATCCTGTCCACACCTCTAGTGAAAGATTTCTCTTTTACATGCTGCTGGTGAAATTTTGCATGGAAAAAAAATTGTTTTGCACATGCCCCACACCTCAACAGTATTTGTCCATGTTGTGTTCCCTGCAGCTCCATCATGTGGAAAATGTTTCCCAAGACTAGCCCACAACTCTCACAGGGGTGGCTCTTCTGGGAAGACAAGGCTACCTTGGGATTCCTTGCCTGTGACAATCTTACAGAAACCTTCTGTTCAGTCGTTGCCTCTACATTCTTTGCTCCACAGCAGCAACCTGAAGAAAAGAAACGTAGTAAAAGTGCATGTTGATCTGATAAATACAGAATATCTTCACCAGAATTGTTTATGTCACAACTGGACATGATTCCATACAATGATTTTCAAGACAAGTGAGTCAGACTCTCAGGAAATGGCTGTTATATATAACATGGCCCAAAAGGTCACTGGATGAAGAAAGTCTCACCAAGGGAGGACAGAAGCATTGGCTGGCAAGAAAAGGACAGAGGCAGGGTCTGCTTGTTATTACTCCACAAATGGCTTCCTTTACGACTTTTCATTCTGGCAATATGAGTCTGTGTAAAATAATTTCAATGTGCTCAAACCCATAAAATATCAGTAATAGTAAAGCACGGGATGCTCAGTGTCAATACAATACGGGTGCACTCTAAAGCTCTGCAGGCATGCAACAACACTGGAGTGCAGTAAAGCCGAGATGTGTGATAGAGGTAGAGGTGAAAAGTTGAAAGAGGATAAGGTTATCCATGGGCTGGGAATAGAGTAGAATGATCACTATTAAAACTGAGTCATAGGCAAAGTGTCAACATTAAGCAAGAAGAAGTAGAATTGGGAGAGGAGTGGGCAATGGTAACAAAACATTTTTGTTGTTGAACAAAATGGCTTTCTAGTTATGAATGTAACAGAGCCCAGGCATGAAAACCACCCCCAGGGTCCTTCACCAAGGCAAGACTGCCTCTGGGTCTATCCTGTCATTGATAAAGTCATGTTTCTCCTTTGATGCACAAAAGATTTTGCCTCTTAAATCCAAGTTCAGCCATAGCATGAGATAAATGATGCAAATCTTGTGTGTGTGTGTGTGTGTGTGTGTGTGTGTGTGTGTGTCTTACTCATTTTAATATTTCTAGCTTGCGGAGCAGTGCCAAGTACAGCAGAAGCTCAATAAATACTTATGCTTATTCTTTATTATGAGAGGCTGTCTGGCAACAGAAAAAGGACCTGTGGTTGAATGAGCCCTATATTTAACTTCTTAAATGGTTTCAAAATTTTGTCACATGAAGCTTTCTCTGATGCCTTCATGTGACATAAGAAGTTATGTCACCTCCTCAGAGAAAAGCTTCTTCTGCTTCCCCCCAGTAACTCTCCGTCCCATTACTATGTTTATTTCTTTCTTTTTTTAAAGCATCTATCAGGATCTGAAATACCTACCACCCATTAAAAGTATTGTATTATTAACTATCACTACCACTGCTGCCCCGTGATTAAAAAGAAGGCTCCATGCCTCAATGTCAGTGGTGCATAACAAAATTCTCAGCTGTTGTGGAGTTGTCTGTGGGTAAAAAAAAAATAAAAATTAAATGAGCCCTAACTAAACAGCTCAGTCGGTTAGAGCAGTGGTTCTCAACCTTCCTAATGCCGCGGCCCTTTAATACAGCTCCTCATGTTGTGGTGACCCCCAACCATAAAATTATTTTTGTTGCTACTTCATAACTGTAATTTTGCTACTGTTATGAATCATCATGTAAATATCTGATATGCAGGATGTATTTTCATTGTTACAAATTGAACATAATTAAAGCACAGTGATTAATCACAAAAACAATATATAACTATATCTGTGTTTTCCGATGGTCTTAGGCGACCCCTGTGAAAGGGTCCTTCGACCCACAGGTTGAGAACCGCTGGGTCAGAGCATCATCCCAACACACCAAGGTTGTGGGTTCAATCCTAGGTCAGGGCACATACAAAGAAGCAACCGATGAGTGCATAAATAAGTGGAACAACCAATCGATGCTTCTCTCTCTCTCTCTCTCTCTCTCTCTCTCTCTCTCTCTCTCATAAAATTAAAGAGCCTAGCCTGGAGAGGAAAAGGTGGGAAGAGGAAGACAAACTAGCAGCTTTCAAAGATGGGTGGGCAATAAACTGGAAGTGAAATCCTTAGGAGCCTGAAGGAGGGATAAGGAGCTGAAATTCCTGGGTAACCGCTTTCAGCTCAACTTATAACTTTTTAAAAGTCAGAGCTGGGGGGCGAGGAGGGGAGACCATATAGGAGTAGCCAGTAGTAAGCTTCTGTCACTTAAGAAATTTAACCAGAGGACCATGAGATTTGGGGACTGGCCCCTCATAATCCCGGATTGCAATAAATGTGACTCTAATTCAACTTCTTGAGGCTTCCTTCTGTGATTCGCAGGGTACATTACAACATTTGGAAGATCCCCAGTGAGATACAGCCCCCTAGGGGTGCTGTTTTGGACGCAAAGAGGGGCAAAACCTCCCGAGCCGTTCGTGGAGACTGAGAGATCTCTAGGGGGTGCGCAACCTGAGAAGTTCCAGGGCCCCGGAGAAATCCCCTTCGGATCCAGCTGGTGGACAGGAGATGTTGGGCCGTCCCTAAAAAAATTCATCGAGTCACCTGGAAAATCCTCTAGAGGTAAGTTCTGGGACTGGTCACTGGTGGTGGACTCAAAAGAGTGCTGGACGCAGCGTAACCTCGGAGTCCGACCGCCCGGACGCGACGGCGTCTGGGGGTCCTGGTCTGGGCAACCTTAGGGTTGCATCTGTCTGGTTTGTTCTGTCTTTGTTCTTTGTTGTCTTTGTCTTTGTCAAAATGGGTCAGGGACTTGTTCTGTATCTCCGATCTCTAAGGGACTTGTCCTGTATCATGGAGGAATGGCTTCTAGACGGTATTCACCATCTCTGGGACTTCCGGGAAGGAAGTCAAAACTTGGACTGACTAAAGGTTTGAGTCTGGCCTGTCTTTTAAAAAAGGTAGAAGAGAAGCGTTCCTAGGCAGTTTTCTACTGCCTCTGTTCAGGGACTTGTCCTGTATCTCTGCACAACTGAAACTGATTTGTTGGTATTTTGTGGTGTAAATGTGGCATGCGCCTGTGTAAAAGCGTTTTTGTTTGTTTCTGTTTTGTTTTGTTTCCTTTGAAAAAAAACCTTCTGACTGAGGCATTTGTCTAGTTGTCGTGTCTATTTAGTCTTGTTTTCTTTGTTCAGTATGAGCACCGTTTCTGTCTGGATGAAACAAGGGTCGAGAATCCTGTCCTGGGATGTGGGAAAGGGAGGCCCCCACATCTGTTCCTGTCAGGCCCCTATCAGGGGACTTGGGTGGTGTTCCTGTTATCTGCTCAAGATCCCAAGACTGTAAAAGTACTTGTTCACTGAAAGGGTGTAAGTGTGGATGTTTATTTGATGTTTGTATGACTACTTAGGTATAATTATTTGTTCATGTAAGGGTGGAAGTCTGAAAAAACAAACAAACAAAAAACACGCTTGACTTCTTTAAGGCTGAATACTCTGACCGATAGCAAAACGCGCCCCAAGCAGCCGCTGGGTTCTTTCCCCAAGGGCGCTTGCTCTCTGTCAGAGGTGGAATCCGCCCGTCTAACTAGTAAAAATTTCTGTCTGTTTGTTTACTAGGGACTTTGATTTGCTCTGTGATATTTCTGTGTTGGGTTGAAATTTTGGAATTCTGGGGTAGATTTAAAAGGTATTTGTGCCCTAACCGGTTTGGCTCAGTGGATAGAGCGTCTACCTGTGGACTCAAGGGTCCCGGGTTCAATTCCAGTCAAGGGCATGTGCCTTGGTTGAGGGCACATCCCCAGTGGGGAATGTGCAGGAGGCAGCTGATCGATGTTTCTCTCTCATCGATGTTTCTAACTCTCTATTCCTCTCCCTTCCTCTCTGTAAAAAAATCAATAAAATATATATTTTAAAAAAAAGGTATTTGTGGCTTTCCTTGTCTGATTGGGACATTCAGGGAGCTCACAACTCATCAGGGCAGAGATAATTTATAGGCCCTGCCCCGTGCCTGTGCTGAATTGAGGATCTTTCAGGAAGCCCTCCATTCTTTTAGTAAAATTTCCCTGCACACCCTTGCCATCCTCTGCCTTCTTTTCCAAGACGACTAAGAGTCATTTTCCTCCACAGGAATTGTCTTCCTCTAACTCACAATAGGAAATAATACAGGCCAGTGTCATTTGGCTTGCTGGTTAAAGGAAGACAATGGGCCCTGGAATCTGTAAAGGTGGGCGGGAATGAAGCTGGACAAATGTACTAAAAGGGTTCGGTACCAGTTGCTGCTAGTAGAGGAGGGGCTGATATCCCCTTCCAGTGCACTCCCTTGGGAGAGGCCTGATTGCTGCTCTGTCACAGGGGACTGGTACGATGGCAGGGGCCTGGTACCCAACCCACTGTCACAGGAGCGCTTTGTAATGAAAATGCTTAATTTTGTAATTAACATGCTTAATTTTGCTTCTGTAAACTGCTTTTTTGCAAACCAGGTTCCTCATTCCAAACCTTGAGATGTAATCAATACCTTTGTGATCTTTGCCTATATAAGTCTGGTTTTGCCACCATCTTATAACTATGAGATTTGGGGAATGGCCCCTCATAGTCCCAGATTGCAATAAATGTGACTCTTTAATTCGAGAAAAAAAAAAAAAAGAAAAGAAAAGAAATTTAACCAGAGAGATTAAAAATGGCGGCAGAGTAGGAGGATGCTGCATGGCCATGCTCCCAGGAACAAGCTGGAATTACAACTGAAATATGAGAAGGCTTCCTGAATAATCAACAGAAAACTCACAGGAGAGAACCCTGATACCCAAGGACCGAAGGTGGAGCTGGCTTAGAGACTGGTAGGAGGGGCAGAGACGTGACCCACAGAGGGCAACTGAAGTCCCAGAGAGTTATCTCAGCTGGTGGTGGAGGGGGGGAAGGTGCCACTGAGAATTCTGGGATCTAATCCCAGAGTTGGGCTCCCCAGCAGAGAACACCAAGCTGAGGAAGGTATCCACATAGCATCAAGCTGTGGAAAGCAGTGGGGTGAGACCTGCCAGGGAGTGGCAGCTGAAAGTTCAGGCACCCTTTTAAAGGGCCAAGGCACAAACAGTCCCTGTGGAGCCACCCACCTTGTACTCTGGCAGAGGGAGGGCGAAGAGGACTGGAGCTGTGAGAACAGAGGCCAGCAATGGGGACTCGAGGGATAGAGCTCAGAAGGCAGACACCCCAAGTTTCCTTGGCTCAGTCATTCCC